TACACAATTGATGTATGTATGGATTGTGGTAACAGCTGTATGAGCCCTGAATAAAATGATTAAAAAAGAAACTAGTTGGGGTCAGTCACTTTATTTCTCAAAATGATATGGTCCAAAAGGCAGTTGTTCAAACAGAACAAGGGATAATTAATCTAGAGGTGATTTAAGGTGTGTGTGTGGGGGTGGGGTTGGGTATATAGGTTATATTCAAATACTATACCATTGTAAGTAAGAGAATGGAGCACTTGGGGATTTTAATATTTAGGTGGTATGGAATTAATTCCCTGTGGATACTGAGGGGTGGTCGTATAGTATGATCTCCTTTGCATTACCAACAGCAATGAGGAAAGGAATGTGTGTGTAAAAATGTTTAACTCTAGAAACTGAAAAACTGGCTCTAATGAACCCAATTCCCTATCAAGTTGGCGCTGATGTTCTAATCACAAGAAAATATTATAGCTGACTTTATAACACAATTATCTTCACTGTACTTCTCTAAAGAAAAAAAAAAAGATAACTTTATCTGAAGTGGAGTAAAATGAAAGAGGCAAGGGACTCCTGCTGCTGAAAGATAATACTACATAGGAAAGGATAGTTGCTAAAGAGGTAAAGGAAGGCTCTGGCCTAAAGTAGGTCTGGGTCCAGGGTCCACTGCAAGCCACTGTCATTGTGACATGAGTGAAGCTCGTTGCCTCACTTCGATATTTTACCTACGAAATGAGAAGGATCCCCATGAGGAAATAGTGCGGGGTTACATCTGACCTCCTCCAGTTAAGAGGGAAAGAGAATCCAACTACACACAAGTTCAAGGTCAGTTCCCAGAAGGGAGAGGTCATACCCACCTCTATCTTTCAATTTCCTATACCCTGTTCTGATTCCAATCATGTTCCCCCTCGTCCCCATGACACTATACTTCTCTGCTAGGTTTGACAATCCATTGTAATAACTACACAGAACCCACAGACAAGACTCATGATTGTAGGGGGCTATTGGGGAGCTAACAGGTTACAAGTCAGGATCAGAAACATTGATACAATTCATTTGTCTGCAGTGCTACTTTTCAGCCATGCCAGTAGTCATGTCTCTCTCTGGTCCTCAATCTTGGCCACATAGTTCTTTGCCTCTGTGGGATGAGGGCAAGTGTTACAAAGCTGCTTTAGCGATGACAAATGCTAAGGGGCACTCCACTTTATAAACCAATCTCCATGTGGAAGGCACTCAGCTTTACTCCGTCTGTGGGTCTGGATGCCCACTGCTCAGTCTCATGGTCTAGGTGCTGTCGCTCTGCTGTATTAGTCTCCTTTGCTGCTTCTCTGTCTCTCCATGAAAAGATCTCCTGTCCCTTCTTGGTGGTAGTGGGAGGTTCTGTCCTAGCTTCAGAAATGGTTCACTTTATACCCAGTAGAATGGCTAATCCGACCAATCCTCTGTGTGAAGAGTTTCACACACCCTATTTGCATGTCCTAGACCAATCATTTGGAGGGAGTTTTTAGATAGAAGAGGCATACTTGTTACAGTATATGTTGTTAGACTTAAATTTCTTTTATCCCTATCTAACTCCATTT